CCTCGGCTGCTCCCGGGGCACTGCATCGGCATCCCGGGCACCGCATCGGCATCCCGAGCACTGCATCCGCATCCCGGGCACTGCATCGGCATCCCGGGCACGCATCCCGGGCACTGCATCCGCATCCCGGGCACCGCATCGGCATCCCGGGCACTGCATCCGCATCCCGGGCACTGCATCCCGGGCACTGCATCCCGGGCACTGCATCCGCATCCCGGGCACAGCATCGGCATCCCGGGCACTGCATCCGAATCCCGGGCACAGCATCCGCATCCCAGGCACAGCATCCGCATCCCGGGCACAGCATCCGCATCCCGGGCACAGCATCCGCATCCCGGGCACAGCATCCGCATCCCGGGTACCGCATCCGCATCCCGGGCACTGCATCCACATCCTGGGCACTGCATCCCGGGCACTGCATCCGCATCCCGAGCACTGCATCCACATCCTGGGCACATCCCAGGCACTGCATCCGCATCCCGAGCACTGCACCGGCATCCCAGCACACCACACCCCAAGGCACCACATCCCAAGGCACCACATCCCGGGCACCACATCCCAGGGATGCGGCCCCCGGCCAGGGCTCGGCTCCCACAGCCCCTCTGGAGCTGCTCCAGAAGGAAATGGGAGAAGAACGGACCCCGTACTTTAACTTTTTTTTTTTTTTTAATGAAAATGTTTTCGTTTCAACTCGTTGGTTTTAAAAGCATTACCCTAAAGTTTGCAGATCTCAAAGAAAAACAAGGAAAAAAAAATTCTCTTTGTTCTCTGTTTTTATGACTGTCTTTCTTTTTCCCCCTTTTAGCATTTGAAAAGACAGAAGAGATAAGATCTTTGGCTCCAGAAATGACTGGACTAACCTGGAAATCCCAGCCTTGCATTTAGGATTCTGCTGGAGGAGATATGCTCTCTCCACCCCTTAGGAAATTCTAACATGACCTTTTGGGGTGCTCTGTGCTCTCCCCCTCATAAATGTAGCAGTGAGGAATGTGTCTGTATATAATGCATCGAGCTACACACACACATGTGCAGTCTAAAATCTGCATTGACAGACCAGGAAGCAACTTTGGAAGGGTGATTTTTTACATCATTAAATATTGTTATTGAATAAACCACATTTAAGAGCTAAGAGCCAGTCTCATAACAACACAAACAGGGGAAAACAATGCTCCAAAGCAGCCAACTTCAGTGTCCCTCCAAAAGCTTCGTGTCACTGGACTGCCTCACTGCCATGAGAAGCACAAAATGAAGGTGTAATGATTAAACACAGCCCAACCAGCTCTCCTGCTTCTGAGCTGAGTCAAGTTCTGTGAAGGGGGAAGGAAACTGAGCTTCCAGGTTTCTGGGGGAATGCTCTCACATGGATCTCCCAGGCTCTGGCCAAGGCAGGTTCTCCTCCCCTCTCACAATCCAGTGCAGCTCCAGAAATCATGTCATACATGCCAGGCTCGCATGGGTGGGTGGGCAGCGAGGCTTGCTGGCACACTGTGCACCTTCTGGGTGCCTCTTATCTCCTTTCCCCTCCCTCTCCACAACAATCTGGCATGGCTGTGCACTCCTGCAGATATTCTGGTCTCCAGGCCTTTCTCGTGCCATTGGCACAGAGTACAGAAAAAGGGCTGTGGTCCAGATTTGGGGCTCAGAGGTTGAAAACAGGAGACAGACACACAGTACAAACCCAGGGAAAAATGGCTTTATATCTGGCATAACCTAAGAGATTGAGAGGTTTTGTCTTCTTCCCCAGTGTGGAAAATATGATGAGCAAAGACTCATTATGAATAGGAAAATGTAAAATCGGAAGGTGAAGCTATAAGAAAGGAGAGGCAGCATCTCCCTCCACAGCAGCTCATCCCTGACACAAACAGCCACGAGCCACCAAAGATCCAGGAATACCCCAGGACACCTTCAGTGAGATTTTTCTTTTGTGCAGTCTCCTGCTGGAGTATAAACATCTGAACGTGCTCTAGCAGAGCAGAGAATGGTTTCCAAACTGCTGGCATAGGTTTTTGGAGAGTGGGCAACTGCAGGCAGTCACCTCAGACACTGCCATCAGCACATTCCTGCCACAGACACAGCAAATGCACACACAAAGCAAGCAGCAGGAGCAATGGTCACACCCATCACACACCCACAACACCTCTGCCTTCACCAAAACGTCAAGAAATCCACTCCCAATCTTAACTCAGAATCAGATTCATTTTAGAGAGGAGAAATCCTCCCGCTTCCACTATCCACTCTAGTTCCTTCTGCCTCTACACATTCTGATTCTTCCTGACAGCTTTTCATCCTTCAGCTCTCTTAGTTCACCCTTCTCCACTCGTGGACCTCTCACAGCACCAACCCAGAGCTGCAGGAAGCTCCTGGAGAATGAGGATTGCTCCAGAAGGAGAGATTCCTATTTTGTTCCATCCCTATGGAGTCACAAGCATTTCCTTGGGGATTTGAAATTTACACCATTCTTTAGGAGAAGTCACACGTGAGGGAGTGACATCAGAAAGGAGAGATGAAAGTGTATTTTCTGTCCTTTGGTGGATGAAATTTCAGTTTTTATCCCTCAAAGCACAAGTTTTAACAATCTGGGATTGCATGCAGCCCCATGTGGCCACCACCCTTGCTATCAGAGAGATCAAGGATGCACAGATGCCTTGGATGTGTGACAGGAACTGGAAGTATGTGTCAGGAAACAGCATTTCCCAGAGAAGAACTCTTGGGGTATGAGCTGGGCAGAAAGGGGAGAATCAGAATAGCTCTGGTTAGGGCTGAAATAGGAATTCTGCAAGATGGAGTAACACGTGCAGAAATATCCCTGGAATTCTCTAAGAGGACACACGAATTTCAGGATCAAACAGAGGAGATCACAGGACTTTGTGCCCTATCCCTGAACGCCCCAGAGCTATTAAAGGTGCATCTCTTGGTGTCCTGCTGCTTCTGCAGCTTTGTTGAGAGTGAAGCCAAAACCAGTGTGAGCAATACCGGGGGTACAGGAGCTGAAGGTCTTTTTGCATCCCTCGAGCTCACAACCGAGAAATAGTTCTGATTCTTCAGTGTAAATGATTGGCTTTGTGGGTGGGAAGGGAAACCTTCAGACAGGGGCTGTGGAGAGTGAGTGTGTGTGTGTGTGTGGCTGTTTTAACACCTTTTCTTTATTGGCCTGCCTGTCGGACATTTCAAACCCAGCCCGGATTTCTCAGTTTCTTGCCATCAGATGATTGCATTTCAAAAGGAGCTGGGACAATGTGGCTGGGTCACACCTCAATTCAAGTGCAGCAATGGCCTGTCAATGTGCCTCTTACGGCCAGCAGGGCAGGAATTATAAAAATCTCTTAGGTTTACACAGAAAGCGGCAGTAAGGGGGGAGTGGGGGAATTTCCATGCTCGGAGGGTCCATATTTCCCACATCTCAGGGCTGCATTCCCTGTCCGAGATGCTGGGAGCGATAACACGGGGCCATTGTTCCTGCCTCCACCTTTAAAGAAGCACAGCGAACTTTTCCTGACCTTCCCGTGCTGCCCCCAAAAGAAACGCTGCCAGGGAAGGGGAAAGCTCCTTGCAGGCAGCTCCAGGAGCCGGCCCGGGGCTCATCGCTCCTGCGGGTGTATCTGGAGGAGCAGGGGGACAGCCGGCCTGCGCCCAGCCCTGCTGAATTCCCAGCTGCTCCTACCTATTTTCATGACCCTCCCAAAGACAGAGGTGTTGTCCACCGTGCTGCAGTTCCACCGGCGCTGCCGAAACTGGTGCTGGCACTCCTTGATGGCGCTGCGGGCCCCTTCCCCGATGAACACCATGTGCTCCTGGTAGAGCTGGCAGAGCTTGCGCTGCCCGGGGGACAGCCCCGGCAGCTGGCTGCACACCGGCTGGGCGCCGATGATGTACATCTCCGGCCTCTGGATGGGGTTCATGGCCAAAGACCTGCGATGAGAGAAACATCCCGAGGGAGTCTGGAGGGAGAGGCCGACACCTCTCGGCGGCAGCCCGGCCCGGCTGCGGAGCGCATTTCTCATGTCAGCCGCCTCCCTCCGCATGCGGGGCTCTGCGGGGCTCTGCGGGGCTCTGCGGGACCAACACTGCCCGTCCGTAGGGAGACTTTGAGCCCCGGGGCCGGCATGGCGAGGGGCAGATGAGGTTTGCCGCTCTGCGGGGGAACGGGGCTCCGCCGCTGCTCGCAGCGCTCCTGGCAGCGCCTGGGAAACCTCAGCCATCCATTCCCTCCGCATTCCCCACATCCTAGAGCCCGGACCGCATTTCAGGCAGCCCGTACAAAAGGAGCCCAGGAGCGCCTGGAGGAGAGGGGCAGCGTCCG